TGAATGATGCAGATCATCCACACAGCTGACCAACCCGCAGAGCTTTCAGCATCCTGAAAATCAGATGCAAAGCCCTTTGTCTATGCACCAGCTTTGTGCTATTCTTGAATGAACAAGTTCATTTTGTACTCCTTGTTATTTTCCTTCCTGCTATTTCAGTAACATGAGGTAACACAATGTCAACACAAAACCATGTTATGAAAAACTTCCACAGCCTCAGGCAAGCAACCGGTGTTTCTGGGGCAGCTCACCCCATGATGGCACTGCCAGCACCACTATCCCTCCTCTTCCCTCTAGTCCCAGGATCCAAAACTCTTTCCTCACCCTTTTCCTTCCCTTTCACATCCCCCACACTCACACTGACTTTACTCATGCTTCCACCCTGCCACTGATGGGAAAGGAAAGGAGCCCAGGCCAGGTTTCACAGCCCTACTTGAGCACAGAGATCTGTAAGGGGGAGAAGGCATGGATGGGTGACAGCAAGAGCTGAAATGGCAGCCTCTGAGCAAGGTGAGAGGTAGGAATCAGCTGCAAGCAGAGCAGCAACCCAGCACACAAGTGTGTGCCTCTCTCAAAAGCAAACACTAGCCGAACAAGCAGCATGCTGGCTCCTCCACCTGTGGTTTCAGTGGTACCTCTGTCCCACCAAGCAGTGAGGACACAGGATGGAACAGAAACCCTGGCATTTCTGGCTGCAGTGGGTTTTTCCACTCCTGCTCTTCTACAGAAGCCTTCCTGAAGGCTGATGCCTTTCTTTATTGCACCTTGTATTTGCTCAAGCACTGCACAGCCGTGCCAGTAGCTGCTGTGCCTCTTCATAAACCAGTTTGTTTACCAGTTCATGAAGTTTACTGCAAAGTGCTTTGGCACATCAGGCACATGCAGAGCTGTTTCAAACAGAAATAATGCGTAGAAGTGGGGCAAAAGGACAGTTCATTCATCTGAGCTGGTGAAATCATTCATTACTTGCACTTAATTCAGGTTTTGAGCAGTCAGTTTGAACAGCCACAGACTGAGGATCCAGCTTCTTGTGATTGATTGCAAATCCTCAGTACAATAATCTGTTTTGTTTTAACGATCTCTTGTTGGAAGGTTGTGGGGAGTAAGAGCTGGCTGTGAGTTTGTGCTGCAAAAAATGGCTTTTTAATTTTCATGTATTTCAAAACAAACTGGTTTGTATTTCTGTCCAAAATGTCAAACTAAATCAAATGAATGCTTTGTCCTTGATACTGCTGTTTGGCCACTGAACTTCAAATATCACATCAGTCTGAACAACTCTGTTAACTTTATCATGGCTTAGACACACGATGCCAGTTAAATGACAGGAGATGGGGTCCAGTTCAGGAGAGAGCAACGTGGCTCTGCAAACACCAGGTCATCTCTGTCCCAGCCAGCAAGCTTTGTGATAGTGAGGTTAAAAGCCATTGAGAGAACTGCACTGTGCAGCATGAGCCAGAAAAAGATCCAGTCTCAGTGTTTCCAGAGGACTGGCTGTGCCAGAGATGTACTGAGGCCTCCACCACAGGCACCACACATCCAGTCACAGCCCCTGATGCTTTTTTAGGGGGAGGGCAGGTCTATACACTGCTTCTTCATTGCAGTTTGATGAACTCCACTGACTGCCAGATGAGCACTCACTGCAGTGTGTCCCTGTGCTATCACAGCTGCACACTGCAGCTCTGCTCACCCCCAGCAAGAGCTCACTTGCTTTTCTTCTTCACCAGCTGCACATACTGGCGCATAAACATGGAGCCTTTTGGTGGGGTACAAACCTGATTTGCCCCACTAGTACCAGTAATTGCTGCTGCCTTGGGCCAGAGCTGCGGGTGTTCAGCATCCACAGGATGCTGTATGGTGGCAGCACCAAGGCAACACAATGGGGCTGGGGCAACAGGGGACCCTGGGACACTATAAACCAATCTCTTTCCCTGAAGCTTCCCAGTCTAGATAATACCAACAACTCCAATTTGACTAATATTCTATTGTCATAATATTCTATTCTATGCTTTATAGCGAATCATTCTATGAGTCATGATGTGGGAAAAAAAATATTGTTCCTAAATCCTACTGCAATGATCAGATCAGTTTTCACTGTTACTCCTGCAGTTTTCTTATAGCCTTGGCTCATCTATGAGAAGTTATTTCTCCCTAAGTGCCTAAGCCATAAATCAGGAGTTCACAGTTTAGGTAAGAGGTATCGCACAACCACTATGGATAATTCTGGAGGCACTGTAATGATGACAATCCTTATTTCAGTGCACGCCAACACCTTACAGAAACTTGAAACTGCAAACAGTCCTTGGCCAAAATAATTTGCACCATCCTTAGTAATACCTATAAGTAATTGTGTCATTTATCACAAATCCTGCCTACTGCTTCTTTGGCAATGCAGTTGTGCTTGAGTAATGGAAAAGGAGAGTTGAAAAATCCTTTATAAAAATAGTATTCCAGGACAAGTAAAACATCTCAGGAAAAACCTCTTTGCCTTAAGCATCTGAAATAATAGACATCCCTAAAGCAAACATGTAAGAGCTGGCTTCAGCAGCGGTTATTGCTCATTTTTAACTGGCTATGTAAATTCTCCTTTTCTCCCTCTCCCCTCCTCCTCCTGCTGCTGCCAGGAAGTCCCAGGAAAGAAAAGTGCTACCAAATTGAGTTGCATGTGCCCGCGGCTATGGCACAAAGGTCTGAGCCTCTCTGCTGGTAAGAGGTAAAGCATTCAAAAGCAAACTCTTTATCCCAACCACACCTATATGGCATGTGCTCAAAAGCCATAGCAGATGGGTAATCACTTCCCCTGGAGTACTTTAGAAAGAGTAAATCTCTCCTGGGGTGGGGAGCAGCCTGCTAACAAGAGAGCACTACAGCAGCACTGCTGTGTTTGCAGAGCAGGACAGAGCTGGAGCTTCAGCCTTGTGAAGTCAACTGAGATGCTCCAGCTGGGCTCAGTGGGGCCCAGTCCACAGACCAGACCCAGAATATACTGGAGAGGAGCAAATAAAGCCAGCAAGGGATGTTCCCTAACCTCAAAAAGTGTTCTGAAGATACTTAGGGTTTCCTATTTTCATCATTTTCAGAAGTTTCTCAGCCAGGCGCTGTGTTTCCGGCCTGTCAGAGGTTGTTAGCAATGTGCTTGAGAAGCATAGGCTTTGCAGCTGAGAAATCACTTTGTCACCTCACCAGTTTCTCTGGCAGTAGGAAGTTCAGAGGCCCTGCAGCACCCTGTACGTCTTACTCATGTCTTGGAGACGCAATCTGGACTCTTGGTGCAATTCCCCCAAGCAAGCTACCATCACTGTTCCACAACTTGGAAAACCTCCAGAACCATGGGGCAGGGAGGGTTGACAGAGGTGGAAGCTCTCCAAAGGCACAGTGGGTGATTAATCCAGCTCCTCTCTGTCCAATAAATCAGTGAAAGGCAAGGCCCCAGCACTGCCTGGCCAGGAGCTGACACATGAACATGAGAGCCGCTCAGAAGAGCTGCATGTGCTTTGTGGAAGATTAGTGCAGGTAATAAATAGTGCAATTATCCTGTTGCTTCAGTATAGCATATCCTGGCTAGTGTAATTCTTCTCTGCAGTGTACCAAGGGAAATCTCAAAGCAAACAGCATTTCCAAAATACAACTGCAGTCCCTTTGAAATAAAAGTACAGGCCAGATGTCAACAGACCTCAGCTGCAACACCGAATGAAGGTGGATTTGTGACCAGGGACACACCAGTCCCATCATGGGCTTTACACTGCCCCAGCTCACTCCACCACAACCAACCAAAGCAAGCAAAGCAATTGAGGACCACTCAGCCTCACCTGCAAGAAGTCATAATAGCAGGTCACACAGTTACTGACAGCTTTTCCTTATGACAGCCAGCTATCTCCAGACCAGTTCTCGCACTGCTCCAGGGCTGCTTTAGCCACTGCCTGCACCTCAGGAGGCCTGTACAAGTACCAGTTCTTCCTACCCACAATGCACAACCGTTAATACCCACTTTAATCCATTACAACATGCTAATAATAATGCTTAGGCTTTCTCAGGTTCCCTAATAAAACCTCCCTGGCAGTCTATTTAGCAACACTAATGAGAAATGTGCAAGAGAGAAACATGACTAATTCATTTTAACAACAAACAGGCAGCAGCATCACACAGGGAATTTTCTGTGTGAAGGCAAACCCCCAGCTCCTGTGGCTAATAAGCTCAGGCAGGGTTGGCCATGACATGGCTTGAGTGGCTCGCAGCACAGCAGCTGCCACCAGCACCCCCATGGTGACTCAGGATGTCAGGAGGCCATCATGGTGACACCACATCCCCACAGCAGCTGGGGCAAAGCCAGGGCAGAACTGGGCTTACAGAACACATGGTCACAGGTTGGTAGCTGGAACCAAGCAGAAATCAGCTGCAGAGCAAAGTCCTTCACCTTGAGGAGCTGCCAGAGGCACCTGAGCTTTACAGGACGAGCTACAGACGTGACTCCTCTTTTGCAGGAGTTGCGTCCACTCTATCGTGCGCCTGCCACTTCTTGGGACTGTTGGCAGGATTTCACAGAAAATTCAGAGAAATAACATCAGTCAGTGCTGCTTGCTCCTGTGTTAGCTGTCCTGCAGCATTAGGAGATCCCAGCTCTTCAACCCTCCATTTAGAAATCCTTCCAGCCCCAAAGGAAGCTGGTGTCACATACGATGCCACCATTCCATTTCATTTCATTTCATTTCATTTCATTTCATTTCATTTCAAGCTGCTGCTCAGCACTGGAGCTTGCCCCGTGCTGGCACAGGTGCCTTCTGAATAACAAGCTCCATGCCACCAACACCGAGTTCTGCCTGGAACAAGTTGCCTCCCTGGATTTGTTTTGCTTTTTAAGCCTTTTCCACTGATCGACAGGGTTTATTTATACACAGTAAAATAGCTCACTCTGTTACAGAGTGCTTGGAGGGAGAGGGGCTTGTGCAAGTTTTACTTTGGGGGTTTTAAACCTTTTCCTTTCCCAGTAGAGATCCAAAGAGAAAGAGGTGAGAGAAAAACAACAGGCTGTTACTTGCTCACCTGAATACGAGGATTTCTTCATGCCGTCGCTTCGAGCTGTGACATAGGAGCTGGGTGAGGCGTTGGGTCCCTGGGGTGCTGTGCCGCAGGTGTGATCCTTTTGTCGGTACGGGCAGGGATGGGGAGGGGACGTGCACGCTGCCACCACATCCAGGCGCGTGGCTCCAGCCGAGGGGCAGCCCAGCGCTCCAATTAATTAGCACACACCTTTCCCAACATCACACACAGTTATGGGCTGTTCCAACTCTTCCGGCACCGGCAGGGTAGAGCAGGGCTCAGCCTCCCTGGCAGCTGGATGTTATCCCCCTGGAAAACAAATGGTCTCGGGGATTAGTCCTACCAACTCCCAGCCCTGGAAATCCCAGTATATTTAGCTAGTCCAGAAAAGGGAAGGGAGGGAATTTCACGCCTCCAGCCCAGCACACCCCACAGCTTTGATTCAGCTGTTTGCTGCTGGAGCAGCTTAGGTCAGAGCTACTCTAAAGTCAGGCAGTTTCTAGTTCAAAGTACATTGGTGGCCTGTCAGCATGCTGTGGTGTAAACACCTCTTTCCTCTTCATATCTACATGTAAAGGACTCATTCAAGGCTGTAAGTTGAGCAAAATGCCTCATAGGTTTGCAACACAGGGAGAGCTATGTGCAAGCAGTTACTCGCTGCTCAGTAGGATGCAGAGCGCCACGTATTCCATAACCAGTTCCTCAGAGCACTGGGATCTGGGCATGTCCCCAGGTTACTGAGGAAGAGGAGGCTCCATTTTGCAATTACTTATGTGCCTCAGCACGCAGATCTGCCAGGAAAGCAGACATGCTCCTGATCACTCCCTGTGAAACACAGGTTGTTCAATCAGCTACACAAATGCAATAAGCTGGGGGTATTATGAACACAGACAGGAAGAAAGAGCAAATTAAGACTAGCTATGACTAAAAGCACAGTAAAGTGCAAGAACCTGAACTGCCGCAGGAAATACTGGGCTGATCACTGGAAATGTTCCCACAGCCAGCTCGGGTGAGTCACTCCCGGGAAGGTGCAGAACACGAGTCCTGTCCACATGAGAAAATGCCACCAGCTCAAGGTATAGGAAGCATTTTCCATTTGGTTTTAGACTTTTCCACAGCAGGAGCAAAACTGTTCTACACCCAGCCCTAACCTGGCATTGCATGAAGTCAGATGAGCTGGATTAAGAGAATATGGTCACCATTTTTCAGCCATGGGATTTTGCTTGTGTAACAGATATGAAGAAACAGACTGTCTGAGCCTCTCAGGCTTTAGTGCAAAACTTGAAGAGCTAGGTGAAGTCACTGGGGATTCAGTACTAAGCAGCCAGACTTTGCACTGGAACAGCTCAGGAGCATTCACATATTCCCCAGGTCATAGCAGCAGCAACTCTATCTGCTGCTGCATGACTACCCTACCTTACTGTCCTGCTCCTGCTGGTCTCCAGCAGAGAGATGTTAGCAAAAAACCTCTGTCATCAAGAAAACTTTTGAACCACCAAAGCTTTGTTACTTAAGTAAACACACATCTAAGCCCATAATAATAATATATTACTCTTTCCACAGGTGCTTTTGACATCATTAGGCACAATTTACGGAGGAGAAACAATAGCACAATGACTTGCCCCACCTTGTACCCCAAGGGCAAAGTCAAGGGTAGAACCCACTCCCAAACACTAACCCCACTGCTCTGCTTTTGCCTGCATCTTTCTGATGGACACAGCTACTCTTAATACTCAACATTCACAGGGCTATACCTCATAGGAGATCAAAATACAATTTTCTGTTCTTCTCACATATGGGTATATGTGCACATGTCCATGATTAAGTGTGTGGTTACATGTGCACATGTGTGCAATTAAGTGTACGGCACCACATGTGTGTGTGATTATGTGTGCAAGGTGTACTGTGCCTTCATGGGGCTGCTGGTGAGCAGCATTTTCAGAGCCATGGCTGGGGTACAGCCATCTGATCAGCTTGACTGCACAAATACAAACAGCAAATTGTGGAGCAGGCTTTTCTACTGCAGGGCCAAACAAACACGATGAGACACAAATTGGCTGAAGGGATTTTTTTCCCCCTGAAATACTGTCTGACAAAGAATCCCTTTCTTTGGCTGCCTGGCCTCAGAATTACCAAGAGGATCAGTCGCTTGGCTCAGAGGAGCAGGTTAATATTTAATACAATGCAGAGCCCACAGGCTTCAAATAGGTAAGTCATTTATAGGTTCGTTCTCTCCCTCCCCCCTCTTTCATAAGATTAGTGTGAGAATTTATTGTTCCTGAAAGTGAGGGATTCAGACTGCTGGCTTGGCCTGGCTGCAGCAGAGGGAGGCACTGTGTGAGCCTCATACATCCAGCCTTGCCAAAGCAGCTTGGATCTGACCTGGGGCATGCACACATGCACCAGCCCTGGACATCCCCTCTGCATCCAACTCTAGCACCAGCATGGTGCTGCCAGTGGTGTAGAGCTGGCCTCTTTCCAGAGAGGCTGCATCAACCTCCCTTGTCACTGCCTCGTGATGCCCAACTGCACGCTCACAGCAGCAATCTGAGCATGGGCAGGCTCCTCCAAGCCCAGTGGCACTGCACCCACCAGGGCTGCAGATGCTGCACCTCCTACAGCAGCTGCTGAGCCTGACCCAGCTGTGATGCTCTCAGCAGCTGGTTCTTCATGGCTTAGTCCACAACACACGTTACAGTTCCATGGCAGGCACAAAAGCAGTACATGCTCTCTCCCCCAGCAGTACCCTCCAGGCAAGCACATACCCCAGCATGTGTGGGTCCTGCACCAAAATATGCAGTCTCCCACACTGAACGTAATACAGTGATCAGAGGAGCAAGAGACAAGCATCACCAGCTATGTACAGTGGGCTGGGGTAGGGAACCAGAGGCTCAGGAAAGGGTCAAGATGAGGGAGAGACTGGGAGAGGCAACAGCACCAAATGATGAATACTGAAGTGAGGAGGAAAGAGTAGAAATAAGGGTGAGCTGCATGTAAAAACCTATGATCTCACAGACTAGTACAAAGCTAGACATTAGGGTACATGAGCTGCGTAACTGCATGTCTCCAAGTGGTTTATTCAGCCTCTCAGACTAAGTTTCTTGGTTCCATGTCTTGCAAACGGGGAGGAAGGTTGAGTTTTCCCAGGGAGAGGTATGGGGAGTCTGAGTGGTACTCAGTGCTTCCCTGGGGCTCAAAGACATTGCCTGGTAGACAAAAGTTGCTGTTAGAGGAGCAGAAACGTATGCTGCGAAGACCTGCCAGTGTGCAGCAGAGCAGGCTGGACCCTCCTCTTTAGGGAACAGTATCTCCAACTGATTTAGAAGTGGAAATTCACATGTCAGGACTATAAGCCACTCACATCTCCCTCTCCAGCTGTTTGTTTTACATATGATCCTCCAAGCTCCCTTTTCCTGAGCAATTGTTCTTTAGTGACAGTGGGGCTGGAGGGAGGATGTAAAGTTTTCTACCCTGCTCTGTACCAGCAACCCATCCTGCCCAGCACAGAAAGGATGCTCCTAAACCAGGCACTAGGTGAGCAGTGGCACTGCATCCTGGCCCGGGGGATCATTGCAAAAGCCCAGCAAAACTCATCTCAGAGAGCCCCTGGACTCAAGGGAAAGGAAGCAGGAGGGGAAGGAGACCACACAGAAGATGAGAACTTGCGGCTTTTGGCCAAGAAGGGTTTATACCTCCATTGCCCGGAACCCGAAATTGCTCTGGCAGGCACAAAGGGTGGCTTTTGACACTGCTGCATGTGCAATGGGACCTGAGTCACCTGCATACTCTGGCTACCAACTCAGCAGGAAAGGTCCAGGTGGTTCTGTCAGCCTACTGAACCCAGTCACTGCAGCTGGAAAAGCTCTGTGTCAGTGGGCTGGCTGCTGGCAGCCCAGCTTAAGTTTAGTCCATGCTCTGTGCCTCTTGCAGAGCACAACTTTTGTTGGTGGCCAAGACACAAAGATGCTTGTGAGAATACAGAGAGCAAATCAACCAGCGTCGGGCACTTGTGGCACTGGCAAAATCTGCCCTCCTTTCTGCCACCTACTTGAGGAAATTAAAGTGTTATGGCACCTATGATCTCTCTTCCTTTTCCCTGCAGCCCTAATGAAGTGCTCACTCACAGTGCACTGGTTGTGCCACAGTTGATCCTTACAATACCTTGGTTACTTAAGTTCATAATTATCCTCATTTAGCATGTTGGGTCTGCCAGCTCTGAGCTCGGTGATGTCTGCCTTATAAAAACATATCCGCCCAGAGCTTGGAGAGGGAGATAGAAATCAGTTTGACGATCAAAGTTACTTAGAGCATTCCTGGCGGTTTTGCAGAGAACAGCAGGCACAAGTCTGGAGGACTGATCTCAGTGACCTGAAATTGCTTCCCCGAGCACTTGAGGATCATTCAGCAGAATTCACATCCAAGGAGCCTCCAAGCCCTGATTTCATCAGTAAGCGCATATAAATCCTGCAGCTACTCTGATGCAGTGGGTCTGGCTCTCAAGCTTGCAATGAGGAAATAAGGGATAGGATTATGAAACACATTTGGGGGTGACCTGTTATTTATGAGCAGCAAAGCCACTGAATAATGCAGATGGGGCATTCAGATGTGCATGAGAGGAACTCAAGTCCACATAGATGGAGAATCCTCTACTTGAAATTATAGCTGAGATCCCAGTTAAATGCATGCAATGTAACAAGTCAACATGGCCCATTTACCCATCCTCAGCATCACCAGGAAACCATGTTCTCCGATGAGTCCTTGTGTACCCAAACACATATGCAAACCTGCTTGCCAAACCCAGGAAAACTAAATGCAAAGAACAGCAGTGACATAAGCCATCACCACAGCTAAGATTTGCCATACTCCAGTTCAGAGCCACTTCCTTTTTGCCAGTGGTCAGGATTCAGTGCAGCTTTCCCCTACCCTGCTCCACAGAGGGAAAACACAGATGTTCAGCCTTTCAGCATCAATTCACAATGCTCAGATACAGGAGGCAAGGCAGCTGTGTTGATCTAAAGCCTCATACATTAGCTCTCTGCTTTTTCTGGGGTTAGGACACAGCCAGGCTCCCTCTGTGGTCTTAAGTGCATATGGTTAAGAGGTATACCATTTAGCAGTGTGTTTCGCAACTCCTTTCTCTATGATTCCATCTGACAACAAAGCACCAAAGACCCACAACAGCATTAGAGTACCATTATATATGGTCTGATGGTCATGCTCTTCTCTTCTGTGGACTGACAGTTATGGTGAAGAAGCAAATAACTTAATGAAGCAATTACTCATATCAAATCAGCAGGTTTTGTTCTTTTCTTCTGCCTTAATTATGAGGAACTGGGAAGAACGTCCAATTACTCAAAGCAGAATTTCATTACTGAAGAAGATAACATCTGCTCAACCGCAAGGTACATCAGATGGCCATTTTCATAGAACAGCCTCTCCCATGTTTAGGGAAGGGAATACTTCAACCTGAAATCAAAGTTGAAGAGTGTGTGAAACAGACAAAAAAATAAAAACTAAGGGCAATAGTGAATGCCCACTCAACAGAAGGAAAACCCCTGAATGCAGGGGAAGTCTGAATGAAAACTCAGAAGTGTTTTCCATTTTCAATAGCCCCAGTATCTCAAAACAAACCCCTTCAAGGTGCTTCATGAGCTGACCCACATGAATACCCACTCTTAAGACTCACTGTAAAATCCTTAGGCTGCTTTCAGAAATGCCAGCTGAGCACTTCTGAATTTGGCTGCAAGCTTGAAAAACAAGAACAGGTCAAAGTCAAACTCTCAAACCCCGCAAAGCTTGCTCCATTTTTCACAAATATACAACCCTGTTTTATGGCTTTTATGGTCTAAGTTTTAGCTGAAACTACAAAAACGAAGCAACCACCACAGCTTTGCACCAATCACATCCTTTCAGAGTGCTACAGAAGAAACATGGATCTTAGTTAGAACTAAGTGACAATTTCAGTTTTTTCATCCAAGTATCATACACAGCCCAGCTTGACCAAGGGCAGGCACTGGGGTAAGCCCCTGCCCTTGGTTATCAGGTACATTTCCATAAGTGCAGTTTAGAGAAGTGAACATAGAACCCTGGGGAGGGGCAAAAAGTGGAACAGAGCCTGGGTTCTGGGGCTCCAAAAAGCTAAGCTTACCGGTCCTGCTGTGCTGGAGACAGGCACAGGAAGTGTGGCTCTAAACTGCTGCAGGGCAGAGGGACCACACAGCAGCAGCAACCAGTCTGGCTGCAGGCTTGAGCAAGTGCCAAGCAGGCATGACTGTTCGGCTGCTGTTGTAACTACTTCTGCTAAGAGACATCCTTGGGTACTCAGGGAGCAGCACAATCATGCTTAAAGCTATGCTTACCTTCCTGCCTCCCATGATTTCAAGGCCAGGTTGGACGAAGCCTTGGGTGGCATGGTTTAGTGTGAGGTGCCCTGACCATGGCAGGGGGGTTGGAACTGCATGATATTAAGGTCCTTTCCAACCCAAACTATTCTATGATTTCTAAATCCATAGAATCATAGAATCAACTGAGTTGGAAAAGACCCTTAAGATTATCAAGTCCAACCCTTACCTCAGGACTGCAAATGCTGCCGTGGAACCATGTCACTAAGGGCAAACTGATCTCCCCTCCTGATCTACCCTCACACCCCATGGCTACCCCTGCTACCCCTTCATGGTATCCTCTCACAACTGCCCCTCACTCCTCATGGCCACCCCTCTCTCCCCTCACGATCTTCCCTTATGGCCACCTCTCCTCTCCCCTTATGATCTTTCCCTCACAATCTCCCCTTACCCCTCATCACCATCCCTCTCTCCCCTCATGCTCTTCCCTCATGGCCACCCATCACCTCTCATGGCTGCCCCTCATGATCTCCACTCATAGGCACCCCTTATCTGCCCCTATAGTGGCCTACACTGTACATCTGCCACTCCTACCCCTCACAGCCACCCCTCATCTCCCCTCACACTCTATGGCTACCCGTGCTCCATGGTATCCTCTCACGACTGCCCCTCACTCCTCATGGCCGTCCCTCCGTTCCCCTCATGATCTTCCCTCATGGCT